CACTGTGGTTTATTTCCCCCTCACTGGGACGCTGCTGTTATTTTGTTCTGATGGATTTCAATATATTCCTTAGTGGTGTGACTGTGTGCACGACCCTATTGATTCTTTTCCAAAGCTATGCCATCAGGAAAGGCAACCACCATTACTGCCACACAGCTGCCCAGCTATAATTTGTTTTTTTGTTTTTTAATTCACAGCCAGTATGTCAATACATAGATAAATGTATGTCAACAGCCAGGTATTTGGGGGCATTGGTAGGTGTTACATTACTCCACCTACTGTGTGACAAGTGACACAGCCCCGGATGGGTGTACTGGGTCCATTGAGAGTACTGCAGCTCTTCCAGAAGCACCAGCACAAGTGCAGAAATTTTACAAAACAGGAGGCCATACCTGACATATTGATGTATCTTTAAAAAAAAAAAAAGTAAGGTGTTGCAGTGTCCCAGAAAACAAGAGAGAAAACATATCAGTACCATTCTGCAGCTGGCCACAATGATTCAAACAGGAGAAAATGCATAGGTAACATTAGAACACATTGGGACATTTGTCCATGTATATATACCACGTGGTCATGATTCAGTACAACGAAGGTATGGAAAATATTGTTAGGACAGGGAACATTTCCCTAGTATGACCACAGACTTAGATTAATTTTTTGTTATCTGTGTAAGTGCCTGCACCACCCCTTGTGTAAGCAGACATATGGACACTATTATAGAAATTGCTCTGTGAGCAACGTGCAAGCGCTCTGCTTGCTCTTGAAAAAGGATCTGTGAGGCTACTACAGGCTATTTTGGTTCTGATCGGCGTTTGGGATTTAAGCCACAGCTCCCTATTCAGTTTTACAGTGTTGCTTGCTGTGATGTGCTTTAAAAAAATATTCAGATTCATAAAAGATGGGTGTCAAAAGTATAAAATGTTTAATTGCGAAATAAAATCCTAAAGCCATGAAATATATGTCCTGTGGGGTTGGGATGGGGGAACAGACACAGAAAACCCGTGGACTAAGTTACGAACCAGGTCAAATAGGGATAAGAGCAGAAGTGCCATGTGGTAAGTTTTCAGCTCATTTTCAAGCTGTGATCTTGCTGCCAAACAGGGGTTTGCAAAACAAAGGCCTCTGGAGATTTCTCATACTTTCTGGCTTACTCTCTTGGTGTTCATCTTAACAGAAGTCAGCTGTTCTCATTTCTCATTTATCCAGGATTTAACAGTGAAGTGTTTAGCATCTGCCTGGGCTATTATTCTAAAACCAGAACATTCTGCTCCATTGGGAGAACATAAATCATCACCAAGGAAAGAAGATAGACCTCCTGAATCAGCCAGGATCCCCAAGACCTGCCTTTACTTCTCTTTTGGTAGAAGATTCCCCCAGCAGGACAAACAAGCATGCCAGTCTGCTCTCCACTTGCTGACTTGCATTCATGTCCTTGAATCTGGACAAAATCTTCTTTTGTGGAACAATTTGCACACAAGTGAGGATCCTTGATTTGTTTGGTGCAAACAAAACCCCGGACAGTAGTTTTTGTTCGTGACAGTTGAGGAAATGGAAAAAGTAAACAAAGCCCAAAGCTACACCAGAATCCATTCAGTAGTCGTAGACATATCCAAATGTTAAAACACTCCCTTTTAACACACAATCAGACATTTTATTACTCTGGAGCATGTTCAGTAGAAACATTTTGTTCTTAAAGGGCCAGGCACTGTTTAACAGTCTCCAAAGTCTGCTCTCTCCTCACTTTGAACACATAGAAATACAATCTGAGCAGCTCTTAAAAAAAAAAGTTTCTATCAAGAATAGATGTGCAGTTCATATCTGTATCTAGAGGATACAAATACAAAGTGGAGCAGCACAGCTGCCATCATCCAGTTCCGCCTCCCCAGAACCAGCCTGGTTCACTTACCAGGCTCTGTGGTGCATGTGTGTCTAGCGATGGCGACATGCGCCAATTGTGGACATAGTCCTGCCGGCGCTTCCCTGCCTTTCCCCATAGCAGCTGAGCATGGAGACTCGTCTTCCCGACTTCTCGCTGGAGTGGCATGACATCTCTAATCAAGACTAGTTTACGGCTGAGGACCATCCGAGCAAGTGCAAAGAGAAACAGTAATAATCTGCATAAAGACCCCTATTCAAGGAGTTTCACAGGCTCTCAAAGCTTAACATTGTGGTCCTTTCACTGAATTCCTTTATTTCTCAGTCAATACCAAGACATAAATAACAAATGCTCACCATTCTTTTTCACCATTAATTTCAGTTTTTTTTTCTGTTACATTTCTTAAAACCTCATGTATTTGACACGGATTCTGTTCTCTTTAGAGAAATGTGATGTGATATCCTTAACATATTTTTAAATATGTGCAGAAAGACAGCTGATTCTGATAGCACTACTTTATTTATATATTACAGCTTTAACCCAAGACATCCTCATTTGCTGTGATGAACACAACGTTAGCAGGTTTATGCACAATCAAGTATTGCCAGGGTTTTCAGCTAAGCAGTAATATGCTCATTGAAGAAACTACTAAGGGCACAGCCCTAGTTCTCCTACAATGTACTGAATGTAATGCATGTAACTGTGAGGGATAACAGTGCTGTAGATGGTAATCCTTGAATTCTCTCCAGTGATGTCACTAAGTGCCTGTCCACCCTGGAAAATTTGGTGTTGTGTGATCTGTCTTTAGAAGGTTCTTATCTAAAATTGTGATCTATTTTAACTCTCACGTGAGTTATCATTCTGTCCAGATTAGAGATTGTGCTACAGGTCCTTTTCTTCTGAGCTGCAGAGCAGAGTTTACCTGATTCACTTGCAAGTATATTTACCCAGTTTACTGGTGAATAAGGAGGAAGCAGCAACAGCAGTTGGGGACAGCTGCAGTGCAAGGGGAAAACATTGGGGAGAAGGAAGGTACCACCCATTCCCTCTCTTTCTCCTCAACCTGGCCTCTGCTGGAGCTGAGCTGCCTTGTAGGGGGCAGAGCCCATGGATTCAGTGTAACCTCCTTTCCTGCTTTTTCTTTCAACAGTCATTCAGTGGGCTGGGATGATTTTTCTTTTTTTTCCCCTTTTTTCTTTTTGGTTATATAACGTAAGTGGCATATTGAAAGAGCAATGCATCCATCCATTTAAGTGGTGTATTAGAATTTCTCTGCAATGGTTAGGAAGATGTTTTTAAAAGGAGATGAAAACAGAGGAGGGTTCCCCCCCCGCCGCCCTCCATTTTAATGTCACAACCCACCTAATATGTCACAAGGTTGTCTCCTCAGTTAAGGCCACCCACAGCTCCATTTGGGTGTGAACTAGCTATCTGCACAGGCTACACAATGTGTCAGAAAGATGTGCCACAAGAGACGGATGGATCTAAGTGGAAACAAGTATGGACACTGTCATTTGGTTTGAACCAAATTACACCAACAGCAATCTGTATAGCAGTCTATATGCCGGTGTGGACAGCCTCTTGCTACTGCACAATTGGTTGTGCTAGTGACTTTGCATTTTCTAAACTAGTACAAAGATGGTGTCTAATGCAGTTTTGTGTAAACATTCATTCACACACTCTGCAAATGCTTGCACAGTGATACAATACTACTACACTAGAAGGGATTTTCACATGCATACATAGCTCTATATTGGAATCAGATCATAATATTGTCATAGATATAAATACAACTGAAGTTTAGGCAACTAAGCAATTTCTCCAGCCCAACAATCTAGATGCATTTAGCTGCCATACTAAAACATCTACATCTATTAAGTGGCCATACTAAAACATCTAAAACAGCAAATAGACTGACCAACTGTTGCCTTAAGGTGGGGAGGAAAATGCCCAGAGATCGAGACTACTGAAATTAGTGCCCAGCCTGGACAAGGTTGACTGCTGACAGGTGTACAAGAGCATAGATAGTACATGGATCATATTTTACTGGATGAATTCCTTCCACTCTTTGACACACACAGGAGAGATCCAGCGCAATCTGCACGTATACATTTATTTTTGTTTGTGAAATAATCACCCATCCCAGAACTGGAGCTATTGGTTGTTTGTATGAATTGTGTGATTTAACATATGACAAGGATGATTAATTAACTAGTGCAATTTGTGGGTGTTATTTTTGCCACTGTACATTCACTGGCATAAATAACCAATATGATTTTGGCTAATAAATTTAGGGTTTTACTTTGAAAAAACAAGAAAATCGCACAGGCTTTGCACTTTTATTGTTTTCAGTGAAGGTGCACTAAAATAGTTCTGCTTGCCATTTTACTTTTAATAATTAGAGAATTCTCGTCCCTTCCCCAGCAGATAATAAACAATGCTATTTCCTGTGTTCAACAATTTATGCAATATTTTTGAGGTGAACTCTTAAATGTAGCTCAGATTTTTCATGAAGAGCAGTCTTCAGGAAGAGTAATTTTTCTGTGTCTCAGATACTCAGGTACAAAATGTGCCATGGATGATGCAATGTCATTTCCCCTACTCCCATTCCTTAAAGTTCTAAATACAGAGATGACAAGATCAGCATACAATTTGCCAAAAATTCTTGTTGCTTTATTTTATAAAAAGAGAGTTCCTTTTAAACCAGGTTATGCAATGTGCCATCCTCCAGATATCATAAGATAGGCAATGGTGGGGAATGCTGGAAGTTGCAATCCAGCAATATCTGGGGTTTTCCACTTCACCCACCAATTCCACACAGAGACCATGAAGTTACTTTGATGGTAAAGAACAAATCAGGATTACTATGAATTCTATTTTCCATATCAGGGTGATATATTGATATTTGCCCTGTGTTCTACATTATGAATTCCATGTAATTCTACCTAAGATTATGGAAGTCTTCTTTCAAAACAATAACTTTCTAATATGCAAAGAATGGTATGATATTCAAGTACACACTGGCTCCAGACAGCTCTAGTTTATATACAAATACAAACTAGATAAATATGGAGATGCAAAACCAAAGAAACAAACAACATCATTAACAAAAAGAAAAGCCATTTTATTTAAAATGAGATTCAAACCTCAAAATTAATATTACAATCATGAGAGAATGCCAAACAAATTCAATTTACAGTTGCAACATACAATACAAATAGTCCCTTTGAAAACAAAGTAACTCTTTCCACAATCGCTGTCTGCAGCACAAAGAACACATTTGTACAAATATGTGCACATGAGAAGCAAATCTTGGGCAACAGCAACTGGGTAAAAAAAATGAAAGAACTTAAAGCTTGTATTTACAGGAAATGTTACAAATATTTTGTTCCAGCAGAAATTCAGGACTGGTAAAGCATATTTTAAGTAAAAAGAATGTGGAATATTGTTTAGTGTACCGGTGAAACAAAATTATTTTTGAAATATTATTTTTGGGTGATCTACTTAGAAGCACTGCAACAACAATAAAAACATAAGAATGTCAGGTTGAACATGCCGAAATTAAATGTATTACCAAACATAAGAGTTTACAAAACCTGGTTTTGTTTTATCTTTGCTCATGACTTAACAAAGGTTTAATTTTTGGGTTTTGTTCATGGCTTCTCTGTGACTCCTGGTAGATTAGATCATCAAGATTCGAATGGCAGGATCCAACAATAAAGAGGAACAATATAAATGTTACAGTGCAAAACATGGCATGGAGAGGTTGGAAGAAGCGATGAGCATGCTTAGGAGACTGCCAGCTGGAGCTCAGAATTAAATGGAATATTTTTAGAAAGGGCTCTCAAAGGGCTCTGCAGAAAGTGGTTCCTAGCTGACTATCTATAAACCCAATCCCTTGCTAATCTCGCTCAAGATTGGGTTTAAATTGTGTACTTTATCCAAGGAAATTTATTCTTATCCTCTGTAAATAGATCTTTGGTACATATTTTTAAAACAGGTTTGCACATGCAATTTTATATAAATTTCACAAACCAGACCAGAATTCCTCTTGCCAAATAATTCTGATCCTTAAGGTACTAATAACAGCCCATATAATTTTATTGTAGGAACAATGTCATATACTGCCTTCCTAAAGGAGAGATGAAGTGATGATGGTCTCAAAACAAGTGATATACTTGAGTAATTTTATACTAATTATGAGTTTACACCAGATGCAGACTTAGAAGCATAACATATTTATTATATTTATGCATGTATTTCTAAGAATCAGGAACCATTCAAGACTGAATAAAGAAGTCCCTGCTGAAAACAACTTACATTAAACAAAAGACAAGAAAGATGGGCCTTGTGCTTATCAAAGGTGCTTATCAATGTTCTTTCTTGCCAGCCCTTCAATTATTATGGGCTACTTCTAACTTGCACAATGAAGTTTTTAATTTGTGCAATCACATTAGAAGGGGATGAATTTGGGGCAAACAAAACTGCACACCTGAGTGATTCAGAGTTTTAATTTCAAATGATCCAGTTTTAAAATGTGGCAATAAAGAAAATTACTATAGGTATAGGAGAAAACAGAGAAATGATCTATGCTGGATTAAATCCAAGAATATAAAGCTGTACTTGAATTGTACAAGAACACATTTCTTGTTTGCTTATTTTTAAAATGTATTTGGGTTGCTGCCTGCAGCCTCTGTTACAACACAAAAATATCCCTACAAAATTACTTAAGATCCGTACAGCATATTTTTAAAAGCCCTTTTCAGCAATAAAAATAATGTACAAATATAGTACCTTTTATTAAATATACATCAGCTTTTGCACTGGAAGCTCATTTTCCTTTTTTTTCCCTTGCTTATTAATCAGCAACAAAAATCCCACAAACCTTGAAATGTGTAACCAGACACTAGCTCTTTTAAGGGCTGCTGAAATGAACACACTTATCTTACAGATACAAATAAATGGACAAGGGTATGCTTCAAGCTACCACAAACAATAAATAGGATCAGTATCAGCTTCCATCTTTGAAGGAAAACTTACACATCAGAAAAGTGTCTCTTACTTGCAAGAAAGGACTTGATGTATAAGAATTAGAAGGCAAAGATTTTTTAAAGAGCAAGTTAATCACATTAAATAGGCAGGAAATGTGGAATCTTTCTGGTGGGCTGCCTTAGTAACCAACGTGCCATTTTCCAATTAAATTATTATGCAGGGGTGACCCACAATTCTAGTGGCAGAGATGTCCCATCCTGAAATGCTGAGGTGAGCCCCACCCCTTGAGGGTAAATATGTGTCACCATTTCTTATTGTCTAGGTGGCCAAAATATAGCCCATAGACACCATCTATTCCAGCAGCACTACAGTCCAAAGAAAACAGTGGTTACTGCAGGCAGCTGAGGAGAAAAGCAGTGCAAAGAGAATATGGCAAAGACGAGAATATGGCAATTCCTTCCAAGAAGCTGGTGCCTCCTTTTAAAGGAGTCAAAGTATGACCTGCTCTATTTTGCCCACAGCCCCCATCTTGTTTAAACTGAGCACACACACAAGTCTGTTGAACAGAGGCAGGTTACTAGACTTCGTCTAAAGTGCCAAATGAACTTGGTGCCCAATAAATTTTAAAGAAAAAGCCTGAAAGAATTCTGAAAGCTTTGGATCGCAGGCCCTTGACACACAGCTAATCCTGCTCATCATCCTGGCAATATGGAGTTCGGAAGTGACAGAGGGTGGATTAAGAGTCCCAGGTATATAATGTATCACAATTAGCAACTAAATGTGTAGCCTTGAGGGGTCTTTCATGTTCAGTATTCAAGCATGAACATTTAAATATTCCTGAATGCCAGGCCAGCAGAATATAACTCTGTACCGCAGTGGTTCTCTTGTGCTTATTCTTGGCTAACATCTCCTGAAAATATTTTTTTTAAAAAAATAAATCAGAAAGCATTATTATTTTAGTATTTCACACTAAATAAGACCTGTATGATCAATGAACATAACCCTTGAATGGGTTTGTTGATACTTTATTTGAAAACTCTTGGCACTGTTTAACACCCTCCCTTAAGGCCTTGCCCCTTTTCTCGGCCTTACAAAGCTGCTTTTCAAATGTTGATCAAAATCTAAGAAATTTTGGAATTTCACCAGCATGGACTGAATCCTACTACTTATACACATCGGTTTAAGTGCACCAGCATAAATCTGAGCAGACAATTGCCACTACTTAAAGAGTCACTGCTTGTTATTCCTTTTCACACACAAGTGACATTACTTGGCATGTGATGAGGGATACAAGCTGCAACGTTTTAAGCAGAGGCAAATCACCACAGCGATTTGTGGCATTGCTCTTATGCCAGTCTATGCAAAAAATAGGATTCTAGCCACTGGCTGGATTCTAATCATACACTTCTACTCATGAACAAGTAGAGAAAACATATGTCTGTCTATATGAAGGAGAAGCAATGTTTCTTTCAGGTTAGCAGTCCCTTACTCCTTTTGCTCTCCTACCATTTCATATTCTCTTTCACCCATCTTGAGGGGAAAGGGCTTCGGGTGGGCAGAAGGGCTGCACCTCTGTGAGGCAGAGTCTGAGCAGAACACTATAAAACTTGTGAGTCCTGCCAATTAAACTCAAAAGAGCTACAATGAAGTGTATCCAAAATGTTTTCCCTCTCATTTTATTGATCTTTCCAGTTCATTTTTGAGTGATTAAAAAAGGCAACCAAATATATCCAATAACATGTAGGCGGTATCTCCTTCATAAATAAAAACAACATGCTATACCAAAATTCCTTTGAGATGGAAGCATTTTTTAAAAAATTGCATCACAGCTAGTTTATACCAGGACATAGCCTTGAGATTTTATACCATTCAAAGGCTGCCATGATTTAAAAACAACAAACATTTTTAGAGACCGAAGTCAGCACATCATTACATTAAGAAAACTTTAAAGGGACCAAATATCGTTAAATAATTATAAATATTTCTTTAAAATTATACAAATCATTTTTTTGCAAATAACCTCAATTTTACATGTTTATAAGTTAATAAAATAAAACAAGATAGCCAAACACACATATTTACTGACACTGTTTTGGTTTGAGTAAGATATATTGCCATTATCTTTTGTTTCTTGCATAAGAAATAAAGTTTTGAGGTTTCTTTTTTTGTTTGTTTATTTCTTTGTTTTAGGGGGTTTGCCCCCAAGATTTTTTTAATTAACTTGATTAAGGCAAAATTAATAACACAAATGCGTAAGCCAAAACAAAGCTTGTCTTGGTATGTTCTGGGATGCTCTTTCAGCAGAAAATAAGCCATGCATCTTAAAAGTTTTTGCTGCAAGGCTCTGGTAAGATGGTTGAAGAGTTACTGTAAGCTGGATATACTTTGCTATAAACTGAAGTGTTTCTTCTGAAAGCAGAAACAGATGAATTGCACTGAGCATGCATAGGGGGGGCTCCAGTATATTGTATGGCTGCAACTGTACCTGATGTTCAAGGTGTTTGTTGTTGTTCCTGCTTTATTTTGAACAACAAGTAATGCATAGGCTTGATAATTAGTCGAAGTCCTTTTCTTGTTTCTTGGCAAACACACACACAAAAGAAACCCTTGCTTTTCCCCCCTTTTCACGTCTGGACAGAATAGGCCTTTTTTGTTGTTGTTTTGGAATCATTACATTTATCTATATAAAACCCAGACAAATGTTCCCAAGAGGAAAATGAGATGTGCTTTAATCCACATAGACCAAACTACAATGTGGAAGATCATTCTCATGTTGTATGTTTATAATTAGCTGTTAATATCCCAGCTATATAAGTGCACGTATCAACAGAATCTATTTAAAAACAAACCAAAACAAGAAACAGGCACTTTATAATTAGCTGTTTGTTTTTGGCTCATAGACTTTAGGCCATGCAGATGAAATTTCAGTATGGCCTCCAAACAGACTCATCCATTCTGCCACTAGAATTCAACACTGTTGGGGAGCTGCTGTGGCTTCCATCAGCCTCCACACCATCATTCTGGTTAGGCAAGTTAGGGTTTAATAATGTGCTGCCGTTGGATGTGGTGGTACAGGGAGAAAGCATTCTGGAAGGGGAGCGGTCTCCCCCTGGCACCATGGGGAACTGGTATGATCCTGATGATGTGCCATAGTAGAGATATGGAGTGCTGCTGGTCTGGAATGGTCCACTTTGGTTTTGGGAAGAGCCTGGGTAAGGTGGTGGTAAGTAGGTGTGGTAATGAGTGGTGGCTGACATACCCAATGACATGCCTGAGGTGACTGGCGGTGTATAAGTAAAGGTGGCTGGATAGTGCATTCGTGGGTTGGAGAAGCGGCTCTCAGTGAGGGATGAAATGCTTGTAAACTGCCTGGGATCTGAAAATGGGCCCAGCTCTGAAGCACCTAAAAAATTATAACAAAAGATGGGGGGAAAATTCTGTAAATATATAGATATATCTTTCTTTAAAGTGATGATATAACTTAAGTTTGCTTAAAAGTAACCCACTTTTTTGTCACCCCCAAGGAATAGCAAGCAATTCTATATTCACACCATATAAGCAGTGGTCATGCATAACCTGTGAGGGTCTACTATGATAAAACATGTGGTTTGCAAATATCATAGATATATACTGTATTTTCTATAATCTATAGTACTCTTACTTCTGGTTCTAATTTACACAAACCTCAAATCAATGGATTAAATATCCTACAAGTTTTGATATCTATGTAACAATGCCCATTTGACGCCCAGTGTTTCACCAGTCCATGCACTCAGCTTTCTTCTTTTACCTCACAGTATTCCCCCCCCCCAATGATATTCTATAGAAGAGAAGGGCAGGCACCATACATCCATGCACAAATGGTATACCTAGCAATGTGTTTGGTATCCCCACAATTGGGTGCTCTTTATGGAGGATGCACAGTACATGCAGTCATGTTTATTGGTTGGCAACTGAGCATGGATGGGCAGAATAAATTGGTTTCCTTTAAAAGAAATGGCTGGAAGACAAAACACCATGGATATTGATTCTATTTAAAAATATAAGACAGTGGCCATGAGGAGGACATGTATTTGGTGAAAATCCAGTTGATGCAGCTATGCTGGGCGTAATATAATGGTCATAATAGGATCATCTGGTGCCATTAATCTTTATTTTTATTTTCATTTAAAACTTTCTGTCTCTCCACCTTCAGGTCCTGAGGCTCCCTAAGAATCCATTTTGCCCCAGGATAGCCTATGGGAGCTTCAGGACAGCTGGAGCCTTTAATATTGGAAAACCGCCACTGGAGGCCCCACCACCGATCAGGACCACTATCAGCAATCCAGCTATTTTAAATTAAATGAAGATAGAGATGTCCACAGCTACAGGATGACATTATCACCATTTATGTTTATTTATTTATCACCAGTATAGTTGCACAACAGGATAGCAGTCATTGAAACAACGTGCAAATGCTTTAAAGGGTCAAGAGTGAGCCACAAATGGATGTGGTCCCCCACTTTTATGCACATCTTCCCTCCATTCTTAACAATCTCTTGTCACTGCATCCTAGTTTTAACAACCCACTGTATAGGTGGTTGAAAGTAGGATTGTCAAACATATTTTGATTCAGATTATAAAGCCAGGAATACTGTGTTTTAATCTTTGCCAATACTAGGTAAATATAGTGACAATCCTATGCTGGAAAGTTCACAAGATGAAAAACTCTAGGAGAGGAAAGTGCACAGTTAGTGGTCCAATCCTTTTAGCATGATGGCTCTGTTCTGGCACTACATCTGAAAACACAGATGGCTTTATTTAAGCCCTGTGCCCTATGACATCTGGGTGAAGTCCCTATTCATCAGTGTTTCAGACTGTAGGAGCTCTGTGAGTGCCTTCAGCTGAACATGCTTCCAGCCTCTTTTGCAGAGCTTTGCAATAAATACTTAAAGGTCTGAATGACTTGTGAGAGGTGGGGCTTACAGCATTTCTACATCTCCACAACGCATTTAACTCTCCACAGTTTCAGGCATAATGCCTATACAGGGCTGGCTGCACTATGAGAAGTGTTACCTCTGTCCTGGGACTAAAATCAAGGCAGAAAGACAGAAGAGGACGAAAAATCCTTAACGAAAAGAATCTGAATATAGACACTGAAATGCATACAATAACTGAATTGTATTTGAATGCAAAAAACAGAAGATGGGCCACAGGTTGTCTTTTAAAGATATAATTTGGATTAAGTTATGTGGTTATATTAAGTTATCCCAATAAGAGCAGACCGACTGGATCAGTGGGATTTGCATAAATATTAACCTACATAATTGGTTGATTCAATAGGTCTGTTTTGGTTGGGATTTAACCATTATCCTTACATTAAAGCTGAGCAAATCTATAGTTACTTAGGTTCATTTACATATTTTCTCACTACCACAATCAAACACTCGGAATTCTATTGTATCTTTCTGTCAGTGTAATGGTGTAACTTTTAGTGGCAAATTGCTGTCACTTAAGAAGTAGGCATGTTCTATCACACACAGAGTGATGTGATAGATATGCAGTAGGAAATGCTTCTTAACTTGCAGTGATTTACACCGGAATGGTATGCCATTGGTCTTATTCTAGTGATATTCATAGGATTCACGTCCTTGTATTCTAAAACATGATGTAGAGTTTTCTACTGTGTTAGATTTACTGTCTTGAATGCAGAACAGCAGGGATGAGTTTCTGATTTGTTGAAAAAAAATTGTTGCTGTATATGTCAGACTATGGTCAAACGATCATTCCTTTATTCACAACCTAAAAATACTATAATTAATTTTTTGAAATTTAAATACATTTATGTAGCATACCAACAGCTACATAAATGTATTCTTGGCTTCAAGGAATGTATGTCTGTAGCCAAATTAAAAATATCATTCAATCAAGTATTTTACAAGCTAATAGGTAAGTGTCCCAACCCTTGAACGATTCCCTCCTCACAGAAACTGTGGGTGTTTCTCTCTCACACTCACTCACTCTCTCTCACACACGCACACTCTCTCACACTCACTCACTCATTCTCTCTCTCGCGCGCACACACACACACACACACACAAACCCCATATACAAATAAATTGGCTGAAATCCCATTCATGCAGTTACACTGTGTAAATTTAAGGAGATCATCAGCTGTGGAGATTTTTCAGAAATAAAACACTTCTGATTCCCCCCACTGCCAATGTCCAAAGGCTCCCATGGGATCCCTTTCCCTATGAAGAAACAATTGGGGGTTGTGAGGTGGGGAACAGGGGGATGTTTAACTTATGACATTCACCACAACCAGGTGACTTTACTGGTAGTAGCTTTTTTTAAAAAAAAATGAAAGACTCTTCTCATCCTCTGGCTTTCAATGGTTTCTCCTGAGTGATGGACTCCATGGAACCTCCAAATTTTTGAGGGAAATCAAAAAGGTTTTAATTACAAAAAAATCCCACATCTGATTATTTTACCAGGCTTATGGCATGAAATATATGGAACAGAATTTCAACCTACAGTGATGCCTCGCTTAACGATTGCCTCGTTTAGCAATGAATTTGCATAACGATGGTTTTTTAAAGAAAATAATATGCACCATTTAACGATGTTTCCTATGGGCGATTTTCGCTTAGCGAAGTTTGGGACCATGCTTCACATAGCGAATGAGTTTTTAGGTCCCCTGCTTCACATAACGATGTTTGTTTTTTCATTTAAAAAGTGTCTTAAAATGGTCAAAAACAGTTCTAAATGCTTGGATTCATTAGAGCACCTTCTAAAACAGGTGCAAACTTAATTTGGCTTTGATCTGACTTTTCGTTAATTTTTGCTGAATTTTTTTCTCCCCCATAGGAAACAATGGAGCTGTCAAA